TCTCGTTTTCACTTTGAAGTCCCATATTGGATGGCTTTTGATCCTCCTTCTCCATTCCCTTCTATATAAGAACACACACCTACACTTGAATACAAGTACACTATTATTTTTAATCTTATATTATTCTTATATTATTTTTAAATAAAATAAAAAATATATTTTAATTTATACTTTTTTATCTTTATTTTTCTATTTAAACAAAATATAAAGGTAATATATAAATATTGGCTTGTAAATATTTATAGTATTTAAACTATTTTTAAAATAACTGCCTCATATTATCATTTGGAGGAGCTTATTCCAGTTGTTTTGTGAAAACCACCGCATTTTACCTTGCGATGGTGGTGGTAAATGAGGTAGTTCATAAACCACCAACTCATCAATTTTCTAAAATAATCGCATCTGTATACATGATTTCTTGTAGTGTTAATCAAATAACTAAGTAGGAATTAAATTAAATTTATTCTCTCAAATTAATATTATGATAATTTATAATAAAATTTAAGTAGTTGAGTGTATTAATACGAATATAGAATTTCTTTATGTTTAGTAAATAAAACGTGTCCTTTTCTCACTCTTCAGTTTTTATCTCTCTTTGATTTTTCCTCTATTTTAGCTTACTAGTAAAAGTGCGCACATGTCTGATTCACAGTTGATGCTATGTGAACCAGCTGAATTTGCTACATTAGAGCTCAAAACATATTGGATATCTTACCACCACATGGTATCTATCCCATACTTAGATTGGAATAGGAGAAAGTGGGAGCAAAAGAAACTAAGTCATCCTCTCTTTGGATGAAATTAGCTATGTGAACTGATTAAGAACATACAGAAAGCAACTCACGTTACTAGAAAAGTCCATTTTTTCAACGGAATTTTTACGTCGTAAATAGTTAAAATTTCGTCGAAAATTTCATTTTCGACGAAATTCAGGTCGTCGAATTTATCTTCGTTGATAACTAATTTTTCGACGGAATTAGAAATTTCATCAAAAATTTATCATATTCATATTTTGTTCCTTTTATATGGCAAGCAAATAAGATTAAAAAAGAAAAAAAATCGTCAATCAACGGTTATCATTTATTGGGAATCAAACTTATTAATTAATTATTAATTCTCAATAAATGATAAACGTTGATTGGCGAAAATCAACGGTTAGGATTTGGTGTTAAATTTTAAAGTTTGATACCTGTGTCAAATGATACTATCCCATATAAATAATATACTTAAATAATTGATCTTTAATATTAAACAATATCAAGTTCACTTTTGAAAAAACACTAAAATGTTGTTCATTGAGCCGGTTATTCAAACTCTTCAAGCAGATCTATATTCAATTGGTATTTTTCCAATCCAATTGTTCCCATATACGTCTATGTCTCTAAGATCAAAGCAACTCGTTAATTTTGTAGGAATTTCCCCACTCAACATGTTATTACTTGATGAGAGAGAGTTGCTGCAGTTTTAAGAATCGATCCAATTCTTGTGGGATTGAGGTTGAGATTGCGGTTTCTAAGATGTTGTTACATGCTCAGTTGGTAGCTCAGTTGGCGCATGGGAGCTGAGCAGGTGGGGGTGAGGGCATGTGTTCGAACCTCCCCAGTACCACCTTTGGGAGGAGTTTAAAGCCTTAATCCTGGACCCGCCCCGAATCGGACTAGTCGCGAAGTGATGAACAGATGGAATATTTCCAAAAAAAAAAAGATGTTGTTACATGCTGTGTTTAAAAACTCGACCCGGCCATCGACCCAGAGAGGTCAGGGGTCACAGGGTCATGAGTTCAACCGGGGGGTCATGAGATTACTATGCTGACCCGTATATATATATATATATATCCTATAATCCTATATGAAAATATTAAAAATCAAATCTCCAATCATCAAAGATTCAAAATATACTTAACATAATTCACCAATTACAACCACAAGTCAATATTACACAACATAATTAAAGTATCAAAATACCAAAACTCATATTTTAATGATACCAAAGTATCAAGATACCACAAGTCTAGGTAGGTGGGAGAGAAGAGAACGATTAGATTTAGGTTTGCAAACATTTTTATTTTATTTTTTTTAATAAAACGACGTTGTTTCATGAAATTTTCTTTAAAAAAAATGCAGGCTCCCTTTGATCCCTCTGACCCGGAAATCACTGAAACCCGGTCAGGATTTGGGGGTCGGAGATGTCGATGTGCATATAGGGTACAACTTGTGACCCCAACCCTCAGAGGGGAGGGGTCAGGGTTGACCCGGGAGGCGGGGTAGGGTTTTAAAACACTGGTTACATGAAGGAAGGATCAATGGATTCAGATGTCTAAGAAAGCTTGAGGGAAATATACACAATTTTTTTTTTTTTTTATGAAAGTATATACAATGTTTTTAAGTTTTTGACAAACTTAAGGTTTATCTCCTTTACTATTGATAAAATGTGATTTATTTCTATTTTCATGTATTCTGATATATTTAGAGTTTATAAATTATTTTCTTTTTTTTTTAGGATTTTTGGATAATTTACTCGTATTTCTTTTTATTTTCATATCATTAATTTTCTTGGAATAATGAACGTTGAATGGAGAGAAGAATGGAGTGTTCTTATGAGTTATTCTTTTAACCAAAGATTTTGCACTTAGATTTTGATTTTGATTATTATAATTATTTTATAGAAGATTATGAGTTGTTTCAAATACTAAATAAGTTAATTCAAGTGCAGCGAATGTTAACATTAGTTGTGAAATTTTATGTAAATTGATTATGATAAAAAATTTATGATTATATTATTTCAAATATGATTTTACAATAATATTTTTTTTACTGTAACCACCTCTAAATGGAGTAATTAGAGCAGTTTTACTGTAACTGCCTTTAAATGGTAACTGGAGGCGGTTATTTTAACAGTCTCCAGTAGACTTTTGGATGCGGTTTCACGTCATCCATCTCCAAAGACGGTTATTTTAACCGCCTCCAAAGCACATCTAGATCCAGTTCATGGCGTGTCGAACAGTGAGATTTAAAGAGGGATCAAGATCTCTTTGTTGAGCCATTGGATCGTCTTTAAATTTGGTGAGTGTGTTCTTCTCTTCTAATACTTTAATCTAATTGTTCAGATTTTTAAGTTGAATCATCTAGTGTTATATATAAATTTTCAAAGATGGCTGTTACACATTAAAAAAAGTCATGTCACTTTCACTTTGAAGTCCCATATTGGATGGCTTTTGCTCCTCCTTCTCCATTCCCTTCTATATAAGAACACACGCCTACCCTTGAATACAAGTACACTATTATATATAATCTTATATTATTTTTAAACAAAATAAGAAATATATTTTAATTTATACTTTTTTATCTTTATTTTTCTATTTAAACAAAATATAAAGCTAATATATAAATATTAACTGTGGGAAGGTGTGAACGTCCAAATAACGGGAAGGTTTTCACCCCGTCAAACATTATATTTGGGGGTTTTACCCCCGCCAAATGTTATACTGCGAAGGTTTTCACCCCAATGAACATCCAAATATCGAGAAGGTTTTCACCCCTACCAAAAGTTACACTTCGGAAGATAGAGGAAGACGAGGCCACTGGAGTTTGATAATTGGGTGGAAACATAGAAGAGGGATGTTAGTGATGTTACTTCCTTGTGTTACTATATGCCCTTAAATACCGGAGGAAACATAATAGGAAATTAGCACCCCTTATAAGTCAAGTCAATTGATCTACGCCCAGTCTATATTTGCCGCATTTACATGGACTTAGGTGTGAAGAGAAGAAAAAGGACAATAAAGATGCAAACAGATATGGGCCCAATCAATGGGAAATTAATAACCAACAACCCCTGAATTGGTACATTGACAGGGATGACTTGTATTATTACGGTGGAATTTCTTCTAGATTGAAAAGCTATCTAATAAGTTGAGATTAGATGCATTGTGAACAATTGAGTGACTTGGCAATTGAGAAAGTATCTGGTACAAACTCAGAGACTTCAAGTTGGAACATTTGGCTCTAAAGTAAGTGGAACATCACATGTTAATAAAATAATACAGCAATTCAATCAAAACATAGCATGTCACGTAGGAATTAAATTAAATTTATGTTCTCAAATTCATTTTATGATTATTTATTAAGTAGTTGAGTGTATTAATATGAAGATATGTAAGAATTTCTTTATGTTTAATGAATAAAACTTGGCCTATACTCTCTTCTGTCTTGATATCTCTCTAATTTTCCCTCTAATTTTGGTTACTAGTCAATGGTCGATGCTCCGAGTAAGAGTGTGTTTGGGAGTTTGGAAGATAAGAGAAGGAAGGGGATCCAAAGGAGAGAGAGCGAAAGGAAGGGAAGGAAAATAATTAAAGGGTATTCCTTCCCTATATTTGGGAGTTGAAAATCCCCCTCAAATTGCCTAAATTTGGATAACTCTAATTTTAAGGGTGAGAAAGGTTTTGAAGGATTTTACAAAAATCTCCAACTAGAATGTGAAGTTAAGAATGTTTAGATTTTACTGATGTGACTTAAAAATAAGATTCAAGGAAGAGTTAACAGGGCAATTTGCTTCAGCTTATATACAACTAGAACACAACAAAGCTGTAAATTATATATGCTTATGTTTTAGGAGATTGGAAATTTGCTGATGTACTACCAGATTCCTATGCTCGTGATTTGTGTTAGCTGGTATGGTTTGAAAATGACAGTAGGCTCCCACTAATTTCACCTTTTGTAATTTTTATGAAGTAAAAAGTCTGTTTTCTATTGAATATTTTGAGAATTGAAGTTATAATGTTCAGTTCAATATAATGTTAAATATTCTATTCTTCTCTTTGCATGCATCGTAATTGGTAGGATAAATGGGAGAAGAAGGATATGAGTTCAAATAAATAGTCACATCACTTGCAACAATGAATCCCAACATATTGGGTTGTTCTAGCAATAGAAAATTGTAATTATACATATGATATGCATGGTGTAATATTGTTTATATTGCAACATTATTTAAGTACCAATAACAAGCATCCACGGAGCCGGGAATCAAATGGAAAGATTAAAAAATTACCATCTGGTCAAGATCTATTTTTTTAAATGTAAATTGGCAAACTTCTACATGGAAAACATTTAGATAATAGATAACAGGAACACGAAAGTATATGAAACATCTGCTAGTAGAAATTTATAGCAATATTAAGGTGACTCCTCGCCATCAAGTGTTGTGTGGCTGTAATGCAGCTCGCCTCCACTAAATCCCATAAGGGAATAATCTTTTGATCAGATTAAGTTCCTTGATGACGTCAACCATATTCATTCTTTCTTTTGGTGATTCCATTGAACAAGCAAGTGCAATCCTAAAAAGAGAGAGTAAACATTTCTCTACACTAGGATGCGTAAGACCCAAGTTCTCAATATTAGTGGTTTGTTCTAATTCATTGGGGAGAATAGTTGGGTCTACAATCTCCACAAAATTATAGGAAATTGTAATTTTAACATAATTATGGAGAGTATAACCATCTTTAAACATTTCATCTGTAGGTCTCCTTCCAGTTAAAATTTCTAAAATCAAAATTCCAAAGCTGTACATATCGCCTTCAAGTGACACCTTAGAACCCATTCCATACTCTGAAATGTAATGCAAATCAATAAATGGCATCAAAAATATCAAAATATTAATGCAAGAGGAAGTAAAAGGTTTAGAAACAAGAGCAAAAGATTGAAACTGAAAGATTGAACAACTTGACAAAACAATATTAAGGCGTACCTGGAGGAGCATAACCAACAGTTCCATTTATTCCAATTGTGCTACTTTGCATCAGAGAGACTCCAACACTTGATAGCAATCTTGCTAGGCCAAAATCACTCACATGAGCTACCATGCAATCATTAAGAAGAACATTGCCAGGCTTCAAATCACAATGAATGACAGCTTGCTCAAATTCGTAGTGAAGATAATGAACTGCTGAAGCAACATCATTAATAATATTTAACCTTTCCTCAAAGTTCAATGATCTAGGCTGATATGTAATGTCTGCCGCTGGATGCAACCAACTTTCTAAGCTTCCATTTGTCATGTACTCAAAAACAAGAGCTTTAAATTCTTGACCATTGAAATCTATGCTAGAACAACATGTTAAAATCTTAACCAGATTTCGATGCCTAATATTCTTGAGTGCATTGCATTCAGCAATGAAACTCTTGTGAGCTCCCTTCTTTTGAAGATTTAGGACCTTTATAGCAACAATTGTGTCTTCTGGCTCAATAGTTCCTTTGTACACAGAGCCAAAGCTTCCAGATCCTATCAAGTTTCTTATTGAAAAACCATCAGTTCCACGATGTAGATTTTGGTATGAAACCTTGGCTAAATGGTCAATTGTTGGTGAATCAGAAGATGGTTTCTTGCTTTTTTTCCTTCCCCAGTAGAAAGTGAGAATGAATGACAATACAAGAAGAAAAGCAATTGGACTAACTATTGATGTTATCAACCTGAAATTGTGGTGTTTTGCATGTTTTTTTCCTTTGACAGGGCATGGCGGTAGATGCAGCTCTGAAACACCTCCACAAAGCTTGTTGTTTCCAGTCACTGATAACTCACTTACATTTTGAAAGACACCTTTAGTTGGTACCTCTCCATCTAACATGTTAAATGATACATTTAAGTATTCTAAGAAAGTAATATTCTGCAAAACATCAGGAATTGATCCAGACAAGTGATTTCGTGATAGGTCTAAATGTCGAAGACCTTTTAGTGAAGCCAAAGAGGATGGTATGATTCCATTGAAGGAATTCCCCCGCAAATAAAGGTACTCCAAGCTTGAGCATTCTCCTATGGTTTTAGGAATATTACCAGATAAATAATTCTCAGAGACATAAAGTGTAACATCCCCGTCTCGAGCCGGTTCAATTAACATACATATGATACAAACAGAAACAGCGGAAGACTTAACTTACGAAAATACGAACTAACTTTTTCTTTTTCTTTAATCCCTTTTTCACATGACATATCACATTGCATACTTCTTCTAATTTAATTCTTATTTTACGGAGACGAAAATCGGACAGAGTAACCTCTGTAAATCGGACAACTGGGGATTTTCCAATCCCACACTCAAGAGTTCCTGATAGACAGTTTAAACAATATATATTTCCAGAAGTACCAGTCATGCAAACATACTCAGATACCCATCTATGGGCGCATGCTGAACTTGGCTCTGTGCCACAAATCTAATAGCATGCAATCCAATACATAACATAACTGAATACTACATAGTCATATCATCATGCCTGAATACATAAATGTACATGTATCGAATATGAACACTATGCAACAATACATCTTTTCCAAAAATACGTCTAAAACAAATAGTAGCATCCGACCACCCAGAACTCCACATCCTCATACTAGTACCTCTAGCCACGGTTAGTGTCCTTGTCCCATGAGGCTCTTCAATTAACTGTGTTCCTGAAATCATATCCCCAAACGGGGTTAGAGACGAATCTCTAGTAAACTCCAGGTTTATGGAAAACCCTCCATACCCTGGGCTCACTTCCTGCATGACAGTCAGATACATAATATACAAAACATCATATAAGCAATTATCATAACTGAACAAAGCATATATACATATCTTATCAAAGACAAACGCAGTCATTCCCAAGGGATGACCCCAAGCGAAAATCAACACACGTAACAAATATCTTTTACAAAAATCATCACAATACTCACATCAGAACAAAACGTGTTATATCAAAGATGTACGCAATCGTTCCCAAGGGATGACCCCAAGCGGAAATCAACGTACGTAACAAATATCATTTACAAAATCATCATACATATCCCATAAAACATGTCATAAAATCAAATATCATAACTAAACAAAACATATACACATATCTTATCAGAAACGTACGCGGATATTCCCAAGGAAGGACCCCAAGCGGAAATCAACGCACGTGTTCCCAAGGGAGGACCCCAAGCGGAACCAGAACATATCAGAGGCATACGCAGTCATTCCCAAGGGAGGACCCCAAGCGGAAATCAACGCACGTGTTCCCGAGGGAGGACCCCAAAGCGGAACCAGAACATATCAGAGGCGTACGCAGTCATTCCCAAGGGAGGACCCCAAGCGGAAATCAACGCACGTGTTCCCGAGGGAGGACCCCAAAGCGGAACCAGAACATATCAGAGGCGTACACCATCAGTCCCGAGGGAGGACCCCAAAGCGAACATCCGGGTACTATACAATCAATGGCCAGATATTGTTACAGAAATCATATTACAGAAGTCATATCATAACAAAACATATCATATTAACACATATCAAAGTAAATACATCAAAACAAAACATATCATATTATCATATAGCTCTATATGAATGCATCTATATCATGTATCTCATACATATCATACAACCTGACCACAGTCCGTACACTATGGCGGAACACAAAGTAGGAGCGAACCCCATAAACATAGAGCTTACCTCTTTGAGCTTTACAATCTGCTTACTTGAAGAACAAGCTACTTATCATACTCCACGAGAATCCAAACGTTCACAGTCCCTAGGTACACCTAGAGAAGGAATTCAACATAAAACTCAATAAAATGATATAATGCCATGTAAATATACAAGACACACACTTTATTGTTTATTTTCTTTTTACTTAATCATATTAAGTCATGAGTGGGTGGTTCTTTGTTCAACAAATCCCCACAAAATTCCATATATTCACTTAGTCTTAGGATAGTCCCAAAAGGCCTTTAGAACACTCATTACTCCTCTTAGCACCTAAAAGCCTATTTTTCCCAATTTAAGGCCGAATGCCCATTACAAAGGAGCTATAAGATTTCTCTTTGTCTAGTGCCTAAACCCAAGCTTAGCCACCTATATAAATTATTTTACGCATATAAGTATCCTCACTTTGCGAAACAATATCTCCGAACATATACCTCATTTGAAAATGGCCAAAACTCATTTTAAGGCCATACAAAGGAGCTACCTTATTTTCTTTTTTATTTCACCAAAGCGAAGGTCCATACACCTTAGAATATCATTCCACGCATAAAAGTATGCTCGCTTTGTAAAACAGTAACTCATAGCACATACTTCCTTTGAAAATGGCTAAGAGGCACATAAAGGAAATCATGCCAACTTCATGATTTCAATGCTTTACTCCATCAAATTCAAGCTTATCACACACCTCTAATCCAAGATTCGTTAATTGATATATACGACACTGTTCATCTCTACAATACTATTCATGTATGCGTTACTATTCACGTATACGACACTATTCAAAAATACGGTATTTTTAATTTTCCAAAATACATTTTCACCGTTAAAATTCTCATCTAAACACTTTTCTCAACATGAGCTAAACCTGAATTAAGCTCTAACATGCTCAATCAATCCAAATTTTTAAAATGAAAACCTATATTCAATCTTTCTCAAAACTCAAAGAAAACAAAGATTTCTTAACATGAACTTACCTAGAATGAAGGGAGAAGCTTGCTTCAAGCTCCCATGGCTTCAAGCTCCATTAAAACCCATATTTTCCATGAAATTCGAATTCTTTGGGGGAGAAGATCTCTCTCTACAGTGAACCCCACTCAGAAATACTGGTACCAATAGATTCCTCTCGAAATTTCTCACAGGTTTGGCTTTGGAACGGAGTGATTTGGAGGTCTCTAGCTCAAGTTATGAATTTTGGAAGAATTTTAATCAAAATCTCCATTTTCATTTTCTTTCCTTCCTTCTCTCTGTCTCGCGTCCGTAAAGAGAAGGGAACAGTGACTCCCTTGAGTCACTTATATAAATTCATTATACTAGCGGGTATAAGCTCATCTATCTACACACCTCCATTCATTACCAAACTTTAACCAATAGACTAGAATATTTTTCTAGTCACGTTTCTATTTTTACTTTCACTTTTAGATAACTTTATTTATCCGCATTTTTTACCTCTTAACTGTCATTTTAACTCATTTTTCACCAAAAGTGACTTTATTTCTTTTTCTTTGTAATTATCCTTCAATATTAAATCCATAATAAATGTGAGGGTCATTATATTCACCCCACCTTTTAAGGATTTTGCCCCCAAAATCACACATATAACATAACACATACCTGACGTCAAACTCAGGATAACGCTGGAGAATATCATACTCTCGCTCTCAAGTAGCATCCTCAGAAGTCAAACTTTCCCATTGTATCTTAACCCATTGTATCTTAACCATAAGAATAACCATGTTCCTCAATACTTTCTCATCGCGAACCAGAACTTGTGGTCCCACAACAAACTTCAAATCTTACTTTACCTCATTATCGTCGTGTTGAACAATGTGGGACACATCAGATACATCTCTACAAAGTTGACTGATGCGAAAAACATCATGCAAATTAGACAAACGTGGAGGTAAGGCAAGTTGATACGCCGCAGGTCCGACCCTCTTTATTATCTGGTGGGGCCTTATGAACCTAGGACTTAACTTCCTCACACCTAGAGCACGCCTAAACCTGTAGTCGGAGACAAACTAATAAACACATGATTCCCTTCATAAAATTCAAAGGGTTTATGTTTCTCAATCTCTTTTACATATAATCGAGCCAACTGCTCAATAGAGCAACTCATTTTGACTGGAATGAAATATGCATACTTAATCAATCTGCCTACCATAACTCACATAAAATCAAAACCAGCCTAAGTTCTCGGCAATGCTACTACAAAATCCATAGAAATACTAACCCACTTCTATTCCAGAATATTCAAGGGCTGCAGTAATCCATAGGGCTTCTCATTCTCAAATTTATATTCGTCATTTTATTTCTCTGAGCTCATTTAAGTTCATTTTTATTCCCTAAGGAACAGTAATAACAATTCACAGTTGGGTTTCTGCACTGTTTTTAACGAAGTGCCCTGTGAATTACAAATTGTGCACTGTTTGCACGCAAAATCGTAAAATTTCTAAACTTATCATTTTTGGTCTAAACATGACTTGTTTAGCATATAATGGACTTACTTATTACATCCATCTTCTTACTGAAAATATAATTCCACTAAAACATCAATGTATCAGTCTTTCTACTGATAATATAATTTACAATTTATTGTACATCAGTCCTTGCACTGATAATACAATTTACAATTTCATTGTACACCAGTCCTTACACTGATAATACAATTTACAAATTTTAATGACCAGGGAAACTGCACTCTATGAATTACACAAGGAATATCCTTGATACATGCTAAATGCAAAGCATCACATCATAACTAATACTCTGGTTAACTATTCAAGGGCTCTCCCCAAGAATAGCTAACTGACATGTCTCACATGTCTAGTGTGACTCCCAGGGTCAAGCCATAGGCAATCAACACAAACTGTAGTATGAAAATAACTCCCAGGGTCAAAGCCATAGGCAGTCAACATACCAAGGTCACTGACAAGGATTCTCATAACATATATCATCATTACATCAAAAATCATATAATATTTATATGAACGTGAATGAATGCACATATACAACATATCAAACACTTATTCATAAACTAAACAATATCTTTCTTCATACCAGACCACTAGAAATTTTGGTTTCATGGCCTGATACATCTTGGTAGCAATAGGATGGATAATGTACTTACCCATATGGCCCTCAGCCAATACCTCATCTACCATTTGACCCTTCGGAACAATGATCCGATCTTTGTAAAATTTAAGACCGAACCTATCAGTGGACACAAAGTCCTGTTCTTTCATGGACTGAATCTCTTCATCAAGCAATTGAGCTTCTTTGATCCGCTCAACTAATGAGTTCTGGACTACCGTAGTAGTCAATAAATGCAGACTATCCTCGGTATTCACAGGAATGCAGAGATCCCTGAATTTCTCAATCAAATTATACTCAGAAATCATCAAATTGGCCATACCAAGCGTCTTTCTGCTTAAAGCATCTGCTACTACATTAGCCTTACCGGGGTGATATTGCAATTCAAAATCATAATCCTTCAGGAATTCCACCCATCGGCGTTGCCTCATATTCAGCTCTTTCTGATCAAACAGATACTTCAAGCTTTTGTGGTCATTGTAGACAATGAAATCGGCCCCCGTATAGAAAGTGTCGCCAGATTCTCAATGCGAACACTACGGCTGCCAACTTAAGATCGTGTGTCGGATAGTTCTTCTCATGCGGCTTTAACTGCCGAGAAGCATAAGCAACCACCTGACGAAACTGCATTAAAACACAGCCTAACCCAAACTTAGAAGCATCACAATACACCACAAATTTACTGGTAGGATCCGGCAATATCAATACCGGAGCTGTAGTCAACTTCCTTTTTAACTCCTGAAAACTCACTTCACATTCTTGGGTCCACACAAATGGGTTCCCCTTACGGGTTAACCGTGTCAAAGGTAGTACCATCCGTGAAAATCCCTCAATAAAACACCTGTAATACCCAGTCAAACCAAGAAAACTCCTGATTTCTGTAATATTTTTAGGACGCTCCCAATCTAACACTGCTTCAATCTTACTCGGGTCCATTGCCACTCCTTCAGATGAAATGACATGGCCCAGAAATTGTATCTCAGAAAGCCAGAAATCACACTTTAACGGCTTAGCATACAACTGATGCTCTTTCAGAATCTGCAAAACAATCTTTAAATGCTCAGAATGCTCTTCTTTGCACCTTGAATATATCAGTATGTCATCAATAAAGACAACCACAAATTGATCCAGATAGGCTTTAAAGATCCGATTCATATAACTCATAAAAACGGCTGGTGCATTCGTAAGCCCAAAAGGAATAACCAGGTACTCGTAGTGCCCATATCAGGACCTGAAAGCTGTCTTCGGAACATCATCTGACTTTATCCGGATTTGATGATACCCGGACCGAAGATCAATCTTAGAAAATATAGTCGCACCACGCAACTGATCCAACAAATCGTCTATACGCGGCAAAGGATACTTATTCTTGACAGTAACCTTGTTCCACTGCCGGTAATCTGTACACAATCTTATAGACTCGTCCTTCTTCTTAACAAAGATCACCGGGACTCTCCACGGAGATACACTCCGTCTGATAAAATTCTTACTAGACAAGTCTTCGATCTGCTTCTTCAATTCAGATAATTCCAGAGGTGACATCCGGTATGGGGCAAGAGAGATAGGCCCCACGCCAGGTAACAAGTCGATTGTAAATTCAATTTCCTTCTCTGACGAAAATTCGAAATTTCATCCTTATCACAGTCAAATCGAATGCTTCATTATTAATTCAAGCTCTTTCTGCCTAGTTGCAGTCCAAGTCTGCTGTAGTGCAGCCAAAATCGCTACAACATGATCCGGTGGTGGATCATGATTATTAAAAGTTCTACGAGTTCTCCTTGGAGGAACCATATCTCTGCATATATTACACTAAGGAATGAGTTAGCTACGCTCACACTCAGTGATCACACATGCATTATACAGCACTGCAAGAAAACACTCAAGAACTTCCAACTTCAAATATATTATGCTATATATCATGTAACTCCCTAGAGCAACTGCTCTGATACCATAAATGTAACATCCCCGTCTCGAGCCGGTTCAATTAACATACATATGATACAAACAGAAACAGCGGAAGACTTAACTTACGAAAATACGAACTAACTTTTTCTTTTTCTTTAATCCTTTTTCACATGACATATCACATTGCATACTTCTTCTAATTTAATTCTTATTTTACGGAGACGAAAATCGGACAGAGTAACCTCTGTAAATCGGACAACTGGGGATTTTCCATCCCACACTCAAGAGTTCCTGATAGACAGTTTAAACAATATATATTTCCAGAAGTACCAGTCATGCAAACATACTCAGATACCCATCTATGGGCGCATGCTGAACTTGGCTCTGTGCCACAAATCTAATAGCATGCAATCCAATACATAACATAACTGAATACTACATAGTCATATCATCATGCCTGAATACATAAATGTACATGTATCGAATATGAACACTATGCAACAATACATCTTTTCCAA